AGACGAGTGGAATATCTAGTGCTGTGGGAAGGTTATGAGAACGAGGATGCTACATGGGAACCTTGGGAGCATCTCAAGAAGAGTGCTGAAGAAGCCCTTCGGGATTTCCATATGAGGTATCCTAAGAAACCCAAGGACAAGCGGATTGTTGGGGTGTAGATTATTTCCTTTGGGTTTTCATTTCCTTGCATATCACGGAGTTTCTTGTCATATAGAATGGTAATAGAATGGTTATAGATCTCGGAGACCAAGATCCTGGAAGAGGGGAGTGGTGTAACGGAGCCATTTCAACTGTCTGGTGTATGAGTACACACAGGGCCCGGTTACATGCTGAGAGTTATTGTTAGAAGCCAGTTGCATGGTGATATGCAAGTACCGGCAGTGTGGTTAGCTACCAGCTGTTAGAGTAACTACATTCCGGGCGCTAGGAAGAGGATCTATTCATGGGAGCAATGACTGACGAGTCTATGCCTCGCCAGTGACTAGAAGACCGGCCAGAGTGAAGCTCTGATTGACCGGTGATCCTCTGTATCCTCGGTGCATTGTAAGTCCGCCGAAGGGCAGGGACTATGCTAGGGAAGTCTACAATAAGCGAAAGCTCTACAGCAATGATTAAGCTTACACCTGAGCGGCAGCTCATTCATGCAGGTCCTCAGTTGTGTGGCAACCAAGGCTGCAGGTGTTACAAAGGCTTTGACTAAGGGTGGTTGCCTTGGGTATCGGAAACACCTGCTGACGCTTAGAGAAAAGCGGGGTAGCGGTGGTATTGTTTCCGGTACTGAGGGAAGGCCCACCGGAACTTAGTAAAGGAGTTAGGAGCAGAGAACAGAGGCCTTCGGAGTATAAGTACTCAGGTTCATTCCCGCCCTTCAGTCCTATTCTCTCCAGTCTTCATCAGAAAGAAAAACCAAGTTCTTATCGGTAGCAGAGCCCTTAAAGATTATTGAGTTCTAGCGATAGTATCTTTGAATAATCTGCAACCTGATTGTCTATCTTGCACGGCCGTCTCTATTCTATCTTATTCTATTTCTCTTAGAAGAGACCCCCGTTACACTACGCCACTTGGGCTCGGTTTCGTCAGGAAGTCAGGAAACGTTTCCTAAGCACTCAGGAGGCTATGGAAAACGCGATGAAGATGCAGCAGTTTAAGTACTCTGCTAACATCGGCGACTATCTGACAAGGATGGAGATCATGAACCAGCATGCTCAGATGAAAGGGGCATCCTACCGCGCCGCCTTGCTCCAAGGGCTACCAAATGAAATCCGAGAACGCCACTCGCGCTTCGATCCAACCGATGACGACTCCGAGTATATCCAACAGTTGGAACGAGCCGGCAAGGCTCACGAGGCTTATCAGGAGCAGATGAAAATGTTGGGAAAAGCGGAGTCGAGAGGGAAGGAGTCGAACCATGGTGGGAACTCGCCGCAGAAGGAGAAGGGGTTTAAGATTAAGGGAAGGGCTCAGACTGAGGAGAAAGAAAAAGGGCAAGATAAGAAGAGCACCAGCAAGAATAAGTCTGGGAATAAACCAATATACCACGACTACGACAAAGCCACCAAAGGAGTTCCACAACCGGTCCTAGACCAGCGAAAGACCGACGGTGTCTGCGTGCGATTTGGCCGAAAGGGTCATCTTTGGAAGTGGTGTCGTTCAGATGTTAACAGCAGTGCATCTATCTCCTCTTTCTCCCGAAAGCGTACCCGCGATGACGATGGCGACCACGATATGGAACCACCAGAACCCCAATCTCAGAGAAAGCGAATGAGGCACCGTGCTAGGAAGCCGGCTGCTACGGCTGCTGCGGAGTACACCAGTGGGCAAGCGTTTGTACGAGAAGGCGGATCGGAATCGGAAATGGATTTCGATATGGATTTTTAGAAGGGGACTCTGATGAGTCAGGTCAGGAGTATCCCCAGATTGCTATGTTATCACTGACGGAAAACAACAAAAAAAATATAAAAAGAAAAAGGCAGGAAGGGAGAGCGTCCCAACCGGAGAAAAAACAGAAAGTTTTGGAGGAACCCATTCACGGTCCTCGACCTATCGTTAATCAGTTCCTTTGTTTTGCGGAAAAATGTTTACCTTGTAAGGTGTTGTTGGATACTGGTGCAACTGGTCCTGTTTTGTCTGCTGTTTTTGTTGATAGTTTTGAGGTCCCGAAGGTGAAACGAGACGTCCCGGCCCAGGTATTTGGATTTACGGGAGAAGTTATGAAGGGCACGGGACACGCCTTTACACAACCATTAATTGTAATGTCGAGGGGGCATCAAACACAGTTATCCTTTGAGATCGCCCCTCTCCCACTTGGCATCGATGCGATACTACCGAACTGGTGGTTGAAAGAACATAAGCCGGTAATAGGGGCAAATGGGGAAGTTTCCTACGATGGCGAGAACTGCAAGAGTCGATGCTTCACTGACAGGGAACCTCAAATAGAGATGGACGAGGGTGTACTGGACGATCCGGAGGCCCAAATCATCGGTAGCATCTGTCTACTGGAAGATGAATCGGTCAACCTCCGTGAAACTCTTCCCTCTTGGCTCCACAAGTTCCTTAAAGTCTTCCTACCATCGGAAGCAGATAAATTACCACCGCATCGATCTTACGACCATGCGATAGATCTCAAACCAGGGAAGCAGCCACCATGGGGACCCGTTTACTCCCTATCCGAAGTCAAACTAAAGGTGCTTCGGGAGTACCTGGACAAAATGTTGCGATTGGGAAAGATTAGGCCGAGCAAATCACCGGCAGGAGCCCCAATCCTATTTGTGAAGAAGAAGGACGGTAGTCTGCGACTTTGCGTTGACTACCGTGGACTTAACCGAGTGTCCATTAAGAACAGGTATCCGTTACCGCTTATGGATGAACTGCGAGATCGAGTGGCAGGCGCAGTTATCTTCTCGAAGATTGACCTGAAGGAAGGTTACAACCTCATCAGGATCAAAGATGGCGACGAGTGGAAGACAGCATTCCGTACGCGGTACGGGCATTTTGAGTACCTCGTCATGCCTTTTGGGCTGGCAAATGCGCCGGCGACCTTCCAGAACATGATGAATGATGCGCTGAGGGAATTCTTGGATCAAGGTGTAGTAGTATACCTTGATGATATCCTAATATATAGCAAGTCTCGAGAGGAGCATAGGGAGCTGGTCGGCAAAGTACTTAGTAGGTTACAAGAATACAACCTAGTCGCCAACCCGAGGAAATCGTTCTTCGAGCTCACCGAAATCGAGTTCCTCGGATACATCCTTGCCCCAGCAGGCGTCACCATGGCACTGGATAAGGTCATGTCTGTAACAAATTGGTAAGCCCCGCGCAGCGTTAAGGAAGTACAGATCTTCATGGGCTTTGCCAACTTCTACAGAAGGTTTATCCACAATTTCTCCGGGGTCTGTAAACCCATTACCGATTGTCTCAGGGGTGATGCTAAGAACTTTGTCTGGTCTATGACGGCCCAAGCAGCCTTCGAAAAACTCAAAACCCTGTTTACGTCTGCGCCGATCTTGGTACACTTCTCTCCAGATCGCCAGACTATCGTGGAAACGGACGCAAGTGATTTTGCTATTGCCGCAATTCTATCCCAGGTTATTGATGGAAAGACTCACCCTGTTGCCTTTTATTCTCGAAAGCTTAACCCAGCGGAACTCAACTACGACGTCTGGGATAAGGAGATGCTAGGAATTGTGTCAGCCTTCAAGCAATGGCGTCACTACCTCGAAGGACCTAGCCGAACGGTCCTCGTCTATACGGATCATAAGAACTTAGAGTACTTCTCTACAACCAAGGTTCTTAACCGACGACAGGCAAGGTGGGCTGAGTCTTTGGCGGAATTCGACTTTAAGATTATTTACCACCCGGGAACCAAAAATGGGAAGGCAGATGCACTATCGCGACGGCCGGAGTACCATCCTGAAGGGGGAGGCACGCTTGGGAAACAGCCGATAGACATGTTCTTTAAGCCCGGACAGTTGGTGGAGGAAGAGTTTGTGGTATCAGCGGTGTCGCTTGCCTCCAAGGGGGTGATTGACTGGTCTAAGAATTTTCTGGATCATGTCAGGCAGGCGGCATCGGGAGACCCGATATGGGTAGGACTGAAAGAGAGAGTTGAGCAAGGGGAGAAGCTGGGGGAATTGAAGGATATTGCTGAAAAAGACGGGCTACTCTTCTATAAGAACCGACTCTACATTCCGGCAGACGACCGTATCAAGATCCGAATCGCACAGGCAGAACATGACTCGAAGGTGGCAGGACACTTTGGACAAGATAAAACTTTGGAACTCATCACGCGTAACTTCTATTGGCCAAAAATGAACGAGTGGATTGATGATTACGTTCGGTCATATAACGAGTGCCAGCGCAACAAACCCAGCCGCCATAAGAAATATGGTGCGCTTCTTCCACTGTCCACACCACATTCTGTCTGGCAATCGATATCAATGGACTTCGTCGTGCAGTTACCGGAATCAAAGGGATACAACCAAATCTGGGTAGTAGTCGATAGGTTCTCGAAGATGTCGCACTTCATCCCCCTAGTAGCGGAAACGACCGCGCAGGACTTAGCGAAGATATTCCTCGGTCAAATCTGGCGACTTCATGGGCTGCCTCTTGATATAGTTTCCGACAGGGACGCCAAGTTTACTTCAAGCTTTTGGGCATCCCTTATGGAATTATTGGACGTGAGGATAAGAATGAGTACGGCTTTCCACCCTCAGACTGATGGGCAAACAGAGCGAGTCAACCAAACCCTTGAGCACTATTTACGAGCGTTCTGTAACTACGAACAAGATGATTGGGCAGAGCTACTCCCGTTGGCGGAGTATGCTTACAACAACTCGGTTACCACCGCCACGGGTCAATCTCCGTTCTTTACCAATTACGGTTACAACCCAAGAACCAACTGGCCGACTGAAGCCGAAGTGGTCAACCCAATCAGTGACCTGTAAGCTCACTTCATTCGAGGAGTTCACGATTCGGCTCTCGCTCGCTTAACAGATACCAGGGAGAAGATGGGGAAATACTATGATCGGAAAAGGGACGAACCGCCGAACTTCAAGATAGGCGACATGGTCATGCTCAATGCGACCAATATCAAGACACGTCGCTCCACCAAGAAACTCGATCATATGAAACTCGGTCCGTTTAAGATTATCCGACTAGCTGGGAAACGAGCCTGCGAATTAGAACTGCCACCACAAGTCAAAATCCATAACGTGTTCCACATCGAACTCTTGGAACATTACCGACAGAGCAGTATCCCAGGCCGTGAACAACGTCCCCCAACTCCTGAAGATATCGATAAAGACGGAGAGGTACTGTACGAAGTGGAAAGTATCGTGGGAAGCCGGAAAAGTAGAAGAGGATTAGTGGAATACCTGGTGAAATGGCGGGGCTGTTACAGGCATGCCAAGCATTTACGAGAAAAAGGCTAGTAGATACCCCAATACCCTCTGTACGCTAACGTCAACTCTGGACCACACGCGCGGGGTGTGGTGCGACCAATATACGACCAAAACACGGAGTCATAAAAAACTTGTTTTCGACCCCAGTAATAACCCCCGGAGCGTCAAACCGCCGGAGGGGAGTGCTTTGGTACCGGTGGATGTATGAGGGACAGCTGGAAGCAATCGGATCGAAGATCGGATCACTCGGAGCGAATTGGCGCAAGCAACCAGCCGACCGAGTACCTATCGGCGGTACCTATGGGCATGAGAGGACTCTGCTATGTGGGAAAGCGATGTGGGAAGAGGCCTGAGTAGGTAGCTTTGCAGTCCGAGACCTACGAGTAGCCGACGCTGACGATTATCCACCAGACAGCCGATGGAGAGGAAACATCGACAGGGAAACGTGCATTAGAGTGGGTAAATAGGTTGAGGGGTTTCAGCGGGTTTAGGAGTTTGGGTTACGGATTTAGGAGTTAAACGTTCTTGATTGTTTTTCAGGGTCTCGGGCAGGCCCCGAGTGTATTCTGTATTATTAGTAGACTGGGTCCTCGAGACATAAGTGAGGGATATAAATACTGTGTCATTCACTGACTAGCCAAACCATCATCGGCGAAATCAGAGTCTTAACAATATAAATCGTTGATACGCGAGTTACAACTTTATTTGACTATACTCTTTGAAATACTTTACTCTATCGTGACTTCGCACTCTACCTGAACTATTATGTCGAAGACGGTCGAATACCATCCGCTAACTCTAGTGAATCTTTGTCGATAACGTAGCTCGCGGGGCCCGTATCGGATCAAGGAGAATTATACTCGACGTTGACTGAAGAGACCTTGGAGACTTCTACCTTTGTAGCTGTTAGCCGAACTCTGAGCTCTGCTTAGTGTACTCTTGTGGTCTGGTACGCATCCCTCACAGAAGGCGCCCAAGGGTCTTTCCTGTTTGACACCGGTTGTACAGGAGCTATCCTCAACCAGAGTTTTGTCAGGAAACATGGAATTCCTTTAGTGCGGCGGGATCAACCTCTGACAATGTTTGATGCTCAAGGAGATGTCATGATGGGAGGAGGCGAGTATTACACTCACCCGGTCCGCATGACTATGGGAGATCATAAGGAGACACTTCGATGGGAGGTGGCTACTTTGGAAGAAGGAATGACCGGTTACCTGCCAATTAGTTGGACTAGGAAGCATAACCCGAATATCAATTGGGAACTCAACACCATGAGCTGGAGGAGTGACTACTGCAGGCAGAATTGTCTCCCAGCGGCCACCAAGATTGAACTTGTCTCTCCATATCAGATGTCGGAGGAAGAAGAAACAGTCTATCAATTGGTTGGTTCAGTATGGCATGATGAGGACGGAGGTGATATTGCTGAGAAAATACACCACCTATACCGGGAATGGGCTGATGTGTTCAGTCAAGAGAAGATTGAGGAAATGCCGCCGCATTCCCATAATGATTTGAAGATCAAGCTCTTGCCTGGCACCTCTCCCCGATTTGGCCCGCTGTACCCATGTTCTGCTCCAGAGTTGAAGGCCCTCCGAGAGTACCTGGACAAAGAATTGTCTTCAGGAAAGATCTCTAGATCAAATAGCCCTGCTGCGGCACCCATATTGTTCATTCCTAAGAAGGATGGGACATTGCGGATTTGTGTGGATTACAGAGGTTTGAACAAGGTCACTGTCAAGGACAAGTATCCGCTCCCTATCATGAGTGAGCTCAGAGACAGGTTGTTCAAGGCCAAGATCTTCACAAAGATAGACCTGAAGAACGGCTTCAATTTGATCAGGATAGCTGAAGGTGATGAGTCGAAAACCGCTTTCAGAACTCGCTATGGACTGTATCAATATAATGTGATGCCGTTTGGACTATGCAACGCTCCCTCCGCCTTCCAGGCAATGATCAATGATGTGCTAAAGGAACTACTAGATGAAGGAGTGGTTGTCTACATTGATGACATCCTCATCTACTCGGAAAATGAGAAAGAGCATGAGCTACTGGTCAAGAAGGTCTTACAGAAGCTTAGGGAAGCTAAGCTCTGTGCCTCGATCAGTAAGACATCTTTCCATGTCCGAGAGGTAGAATACCTGGGCTATCATATCTCAGAACAGGGAGTATCTATGTCAGAAGATAAGGTGGAGGCAGTTAAGGAATGGCCGGTCCCTGAGAATATCAAGGCTGTACAGGCATTCCTCGGATTTGCAAACTTCTATCGCCGCTTTATTGAAGGCTTCAGTAAAGTTTGCAAACCATTAACTGATCTCCTGCAAAAAGACAAGAAATGGTATTGGACGGCAGCACATGAGCAGGCCTTTGAAGAACTCAAGAGGCTGTTCACAAGCGCTCCAATCATTCTTCATTTTGACCCTAGTAGGAGCACGGTGGTTGAGACAGATGCCAGTGATTTTGCCAAAGGAGCGGTGCTCTCTCAGTATGGGGACGATGGAAAGCTACATCCGGTGGCATTCTATTCTAAGAAGTTCTCCCCTGCTGAGATCAACTATGACATTCATGATAAGGAAATGGGAGCTATTGTAGCCTCTTTCCGGGAATGGGAACACATGCTCAAATCTTGTGAGCAAGAGATCACGGTTTTTACAGAACACAAGAACTTGGAGTATTTTAATTCTACCAAGGTTCTCACTAGGCGGCAAGCTAGATGGTCTGAGGACCTCGCAGGCTACAATTTTAAAGTTGTCTACAGACCGGGAGAAAAGAATGGCAAGACTGATGTGCTATCTAGGCGCTGGGATCACCGCCTTGGAGAGGGAGGTGAAACTCTGCAGCCGGAGCCACAGATCTTTTTTAGGCCAGGTCAATTGGTTTTGGATCCTGCAAAGCTAGTGGCTGTCAGGGTGAATCAATTGCAGAATACATTCTTAGAGCGCCTATATGCGGCTGCTAAAGAGGATAGTTTCTGGCAGGAACTGCACCGCTCCCTGGTTGAAAGGAAACCAAATTTGGACCAGAACTTGTCGGTCAAGAACGGTCTCATCTTCTATAAGAATAGATGGTATATACCCAAAGACAAAAAGCTTCAGATGGAAATACTGTCCGCTACCCATGACTCTAAGGTGGCTGGTCATTTTGGCCAATTTAAGACACTTGAGCGGGTGAAAAACAACTTCTTTTGGCCCAACATGGATAAGGATGTTGAGGAATATGTCCGGAGCTGTGACAGCTGCCAGAGGAATAAGACCTCAAGACATAGGAAGTTTGGTATGCTCCAACCGTTGGAGATACCCTATCGGCCATGGACTTCCATCTCTATGGACTTCATTGTGGGATTGCCGGAATCTAGTGGGTTTACAAAGATCTGGGTAATAGTGGGCCGTTTTTCGAAGATGGCACACTACATCCCTCTTCCTACCCTCAATAAAACGGAAGATTTGGCTAAGTTGTTCTTGAAGGAAGTTTGGAGACTCCATGGTTTACCTGATGACATAGTCTCGGACAGAGATAGCAGGTTCATCTCTCACTTTTGGCAATCTCTCATGAGCCTCCTCAATGTGAAGCTGAAGATGTCCACATCCTTCCACCCCCAAACGGACGGTCAAACAGAAAGAGTTAATCAGACCCTGGAACATTACTTGCGGAGTTATTGTTCATATCAACAGGATGACTGGGCAGAACTTTTGCCTTTGGCAGAGTATGCATATAACTCGGCGGTCTCTGAGTCTACCAAAGTATCGGCCTTTTATGCCAACTATGGTTATGAACCCAGGACCAACTGGCCGGCCCCAAAGGAAGGAGTAGAATGGAACAATCCAGCAAGTGAGGTCATGATATCTCAATGGGAATCTATTTGGCAGGCTATGAACGCCAGCTTGGGTAAAGCTAGATTAAGGATGGCCCGGTGGTATGATGCTCATGCCCTGGTACCGCCCGAAATCAAGCCCGGAGATGAAGTAATGTTGGACCGGCGCAATGTGCAAACAAAGCGGCCTTTGGGAAAATTGGATCAGAAGAAGATGGGACCCTTCAAGGTCTTGGAAGCTATTGGTACCCGTGCCTACAAGCTCTCTCTTCCCCCTCAAATGGGAATCCACCCGGTATTTCATGTCTCTCTTCTGGAACCTTACAGAGCACCGGTAGATCCTGAGAGAAGAGTTCCACTACCGGAACCCGAAGAGATTGAAGGAGAACAGAACTGGGTTGTCCGAGAAGTAGCTGATAGCCGGGTCAATAAGAAAAGGAGACGAGTGGAATACCTAGTGCTGTGGGAAGGTTATGAGAACGAGGATGCTACATGGGAACCTTGGGAGCATCTCAAGAAGAGTGCTGAAGAAGCCCTTCGGGATTTCCATATGAGGTATCCTAAGAAACCCAAAGACAAGCGGATTGTTGGGGTGTAGTTCTTCCTTTAGATTTTCTTTCCTTGCATATCACGGAATTTCTTGTCATATAGAATGGATGGTAATAGAATGTTTTTAGATCTCGGAGACCAAGATCCTGGAAGAGGGGGGTGGTGTAACGGAGCCATTTCAACTGTCTGGTGTATGAGTACACACAGGGCCCGGTTACATGCTGAGAGTTATTGTTAGAAGCCAGTTGCACGGTGATATGCAAGTACCGGCAGTGTGGTTAGCTACCAGCTGTTAGAGTAACTACATTCCGGGCGCTAGGAAGGGGATCTATTCACGGGAGCAATGACTGACGAGTCTTTGCCTCGCCAGTGAATAGAAGACCGGCCAGAGTGAAGCTCTGATAGCCCGGTGATCCTCTGTATCCTCTAAGCATTATGAGTCCGCCGAAAGGCAGGGACTCGGCTAGGGAAGTCTACAATAAGCGAAGGCTCTACAGCAATAATTAAGCTTACACCTGAGCAGCAGCTCATTCATGCAGGTCCTCGGTTGTGTGGCAACCAAGGCTGCAGGTGTTACAAAGGCTTGGACTAAGGGTGGTTGCCTTGGGTATCGGAAACACCTGCTGACGCTTAGAGAAAAGCGGGGTAGCGGTGGTATTGTTTCCGGCACCGAGGAAAGGGCCCACCGGAACTTAGTAAGGAGTTAGGAGCAGAGAATAGAGGCCTTCGGAGTATAAGTACTCAGGTTCATTCTCGCCCTTCAGTCCTGTTCTCTCCAGTCTTCATCAGAAAGAAAAACCAAGTTCTTATCGGTAGCAGAGCCCTTAAAGATTATTGAGTTCTAGCGATAGTATCTTTGAATAATCTGCAACCTGATTGTCTATCTTGCACGGCCGTCTCTATTCTACTTTATTCTATTCTTCTTAGAAGAGACCCCCGTTACATTAGGAGCAGAGAATAGAGGCCTTCGGAGTATAAGTACTCAGGTTCATTCTCGCCCTTCAGTCCTGTTCTCTCCAGTCTTGATCAGAAAGAAAAAACCAAGTTCTTATCGGTAGCAGAGCCCTTAAAGATTATTGAGTTCTAGCGATAGTATCTTTGAATAATCTGCAACCTGATTGTCTATCTTGCACGGCCGTCTCTATTCTATCCGATTCTATTTCTCTTAGAAAGGACCCCCGTTACATCAACCTATTTATCCACTCTAATGCACGTTTCCCTGTCGATGTTTCTTCTCCATCGGCCGTCTGGTGGATAATCGTCAGCGTCGGCTACTCATAGGTCTCCGATGGTAAGGCTACCTACTCAGGCCTCTTACCACATCGCTTTCCCACATAGCAGAGTCCTCTCATGCCTACAGGTACCGCCAACAGGTACTCGGTCGGCTGGTAGCTTGCGCCGATCCGCTCCGAGTGGTCTGATCTTCGATCCGATTGCTTCCAGCTGTCCCTCATATATCCACCGGTCCAAAAGCACTCTCCTCCCGCGGTTTGACGCTCCTGGGGTTATCATTGGGGTCTAAAACGTGTTTTTTAATTAGGAAAACCGCAACTCCGCATTTGGTCGCATATCGATCACACCGCAACTCGTGGGTGCGAACCGGAGTTGATAGTGGTGTTTCCATTAGTGTTAGAGGGTATTAGGGTATCTACTAGCCTTTCTCTCACTCCCGTAAATGCTTGGCATGCCCATAACACAAAGAATAACCCGATGACTAACCCTCGTAACCACAATAAAGAAATATCAGACAAATATAATAACATCCCCCAACCGATCCTGATCCTTCTCCCCGCAACCTAATCTGAAGCGCCTAGCGCTTACTGTATCCTCTGAGCACCTTCCTAACATATCTAATCTAACCGAAGCCACCCTGATCCTTCACCTAATAACCCGATTCCGTAGCGTTCTTGTCGGCAGAGGAGGTGGGGGCGGTCGGGCCTTGATAGGTGAATAGATCCCCTTCCTAGCATCCTGAATGTAGTTACTCTAACAGCTGGTAGCTAGCCATACTGCCGGTATTTGCATATCACCGTGCTACTGGCTTCTAACAATAACTCTCAGGATGTAACCGGGCCCTGTGTGTACTCATACACCAAACAGTTAAAAAGGCTCGGTTACATATTCAGGCTCACTCCCGCCCTTCAGTCCTGTTCCCTCTGGTCTTGATCACAAAGAAAAACCAAGTTCTTATCAGTAGCAGAGCTCTTAAAGATTATTGAGTTCTAGTGATAGTATCTTTGAATAATCTGCAACCTGATTGTCTATCTTGCACGGCCGTCTCTATTCTATCCTATTCTATTTCTCTTAGAAGAGACCCGTTACAGATAGATCCCAACCAGCATTGCTAGAGATATTCCTACTAGTGCGTAGAGGGTATTGGAAGTGTCTTCTAGTTTTTCTCTTACTCTCGTAAATACTTGACATGCCCGTAATAGTTTCTCCCTGTCATATATGAGATTGTCGTAAGACTGGCACACTATGGAACAAACTAGCCATTGAAGGATACAGATAAGCCAAGGACTACACTATACAATCGCCAAACTATCACTAAAGCATTGAGAGATATGAGTCAAACGATAAAGCGAATTCCACTCTTTGCCCTTGACTATAATATGAAAATGAATGGGGTGGGCCTTCCCGACCAATTCAGATGCTATTATGCTACACAACTGCCGGTCCTGCGCAACTGAATGGCTCTTTTCTTCTGGCTTTTCGATATCACCATTATCAATTCTTGGATAATCATGGTAACTCATTCTTTCAGACTATTCAATCCTTAATCCTATCTGCAATATTCAGATTGAGAACCTCGGGCCAATCACAGATATTGACCAGGAGTGGTTCCAACCGGTAAGAGCGAGAATTACTCAGGAATAGGATATAATACTAATAATATCTAAAAGGCTATGTCTCAAAGCATTCCACGTTCCCTATAAAAGGGTTGGAAGCTGTCACGCATTGTCTCACAAGGTTTGAAGGTACCGGTAGCCAGCAGAGATCATTCGGATTATCAAAAGATCGGAAAGGAGGGAATGTGGAGCCAGGTCAAGATGATAGGCCCCTGGTACTGGAACGACTACCTATACCTACTTCAAATTATCCTATGGTAATATACCTCTCTGGAAAGACCGCTGCTTCTCTCTATTTCATAATGTTTATAGAGAATTTTAAATGACTTCAACACTCAACCAATAATGTCTGCGGGTAAAAACGGATTGGAGTATAAGATCCTACGCCTTTTTCTGCCCCTAAAATGACTCTCATACATCTACTTTGCTCACAAGTCCCATCTTGCGATATAAGCTTTCATAATGCCGAACCGCTGAATAGCATTTCTCCCGGCACCTTTTAGATTATAACTCAACAACCAGGCTTGGCGGGTTAAAATGGACTAAGAATTTAAAATCTACGCACATTTGTACCCTTATAGCAATACTCATATCATCTCTCCGCTCACAGATACCTCTCTTCGTTGCTGTTGTTGTTAACAACGGCGGTCAATGATCTTCTGTCAGATATCGGCCCACCACAACCCTAACCCACAACCCTAACCCACACCCACATCGACCTACTCTGCCACTCAGCCACCACTTACGGTTTAGAACGTGCGACCTTGAAAACAGTGGAATCGATTAGAAAGTTTGTCTTACTTATGGACAATTTGCGGGGAGAATGCACTTGAAAACTCCAGAGTTCAAACACCGCCTTTATATCTTAACCACTAGATCAAGGCATAATAAACTTTTAGAAATTCATACCCATCGTCATTATGTTCGCAATCTTCTTAAAATTTGACAAGCTCATCTCTGGACATGAGGCGCCACTTTCTAACATAAACATCTTACAAGAGATTTGTTGGGGTATAGAAGGGTGGGATTCTAGTATTTCATGCAGCACCACTCATCAGAATGAACCACCCATCAATTGATACGTTTCCTCCGACCTTTTCAAGCACACTTTGTTTGATCCATTTCTTGCTTCATACGTTCCAAATGATTTCTCTTGCGTAGGTAATACATCAGATGGACATAGAAATAAATCAAATTATTACTTTTCTAAAGTTCTTCTCGTAGGAATTAAGTCGATTGATTTGTGTCCAGAATTTCTAGAAAATTGACCATGTTTAATCTGTATGAAGAGCTTCAACGTTGTAAAAAGGTAAGCTAGCTAGACCTCTGTGCTGTTTATATGGCTATCCTTTCCTGCTAATCAAGTATTTAGCGGGAAAAAACTATTCCCCCTCCATCAAATTTCTTCTTGAGGTTTTCCTGTGCACTCGGCTCTTTGACCGAATCTATTTCGAGTAGATAACACACTCCCCGAGGAAATCAAGAACATCCATACAGCTCGTTTCGCCTGATCCTTCTCCCGCATGGAAATCTTCCGTTTCTGTTCTTTTTCTTGTACTTGCCACTTTATTTGCTTTCAGTGATGTTGGAACAAAGTCGCTTGGCCCATCTAGACTTATTAGGCGTCTCTTTATTTGATTTTTCAACGGAAAGCCAAATGTATCTTCTCTTTTTCTAATCAAAGAAGGCATTTCATTCGTCTTCCAGCGATACTCACTAGATGACATCCTGACATCAGTGTCAATGGATATTTGTTGGTCATGATCCGGTGGCACTTAAAAAAAAACCCTGCTGTCAGCCTCTCAATAACTAAAAAGATTCTCATGAACCAACCTATTTTATTATATTTAGTATCTTCTACCCTAAGCTCTTCACACATGTTAGAACTACTGCTTGGAGGACAGTTATCTGTTGAACTATCAATATATGACTCTATCCCCCCATTTTTCATAAATACGTTTTCGAGTTGGGATTTCCTTCTAAGACAAGGATTTTTCAAATCCCCATTATCTAAAACCTTTGAGAAAATCATCCCATGGTTAGAAGATACGTTTCTTTTTGGACAACCAGAAGTTTCGGACATAGTGCATGCCCCGCCGGCCCCCATTGTTAGCTCGATCAGTGGCATATCACCACCTTGTTCTCCTCCTTCCGATCCATTAACATCAGCGGCCGAAGGTTCTTGGGGAGGGTAAAAACTCCTACTCGGCATTGGTCCAGATTCTTTGGCAGGAGAAAGCACCCTTTTATAGTTCGTCAAGCTAGGTTGCTCGATACCAGAGAAAGTAGGTTTAGCTACCCCATTGTTGGAGTAAGAGAAAATTGACTTGCTGGTCAAGGATCGATGAGTAGTTAGGGTACTGGTGGAATGAAGCTTTTTGAGTTTCTCTAAGTCGCTAGTTGCACCCCTTCGCTCATAAGTGCTGCTTTCGTCACCGACAAGGTCCAGTACTTCAATGTCCACATTTTTCATGTGGGTAACAATGGCCGACATTCGAGGTTTTTGTTTAGGTTTTGAGGAAAGAATTTCCTGTTGATCGATTTTCCTTGGGGCTGGCACTTGCAGGGGTTTTGCATCCGGTATGCTTTTCTTTCGCTTTAACGGCTTCGGCGGCTTCTCCAGCCCATCGCGGCAACAAAAATGTTTGCATCTTTTAATCAATTAGCTTTCCGTTTAGTTAGGTTTAGTTATTTGTTCAAGTTAATACTTCTTTTTATCCCCACACCTATGCCTGCAAACGTAATTCCCATTTGGAAGCTGCTCATTTGTTTCTAACCCACTACTTTCTAAACCATCAAGGTCAATCTCGGCTTTGGTTCGAAAGTTATTTGTATCTGTGTTCTTCTTAGCTTCTTGTGAGGCACTGTCGTCGAAATCAGACATATCAAAATCATCTATATTCAAGAAACACAAATCCTTCTCTTCAGAAACTGCTAAGCTCCCGGTAGTCCTCGTAGCCTGGCCTATATCCGTTGAAGCGCGTGTATTCGCTCCTAAGCAGCCTACACTTGAGGTTTTACATAATTCTCGAGCGGTAATGAATCTGCTCATGTCTGTTCTCCTTATATTTGGTGGTGGTGATGGTAACGCTGGACATCCCCCACCAGGGTACAAAGCGCTTTCAACATCTGGTTTGAGCTCATGGAATTTCAAGGTGCCAACTAAGAATATTAGTATAGAATAGCAGTAATTAGATAAAATATTCACCTATATCTTCGCACACCAAGTAACATATAACCGTTTGCTCTTTGTGCTCGAGCTCAACCATAAACTGAATATCTTTTCCGCCCTCCAGCTTACCAATTCTACGCATTTCAAAGTTTATTTAGTAAGCTATGGATCAGAATTGCAATTATTGTCTTACGGTATTCTTCTGAAATCGATTAATAAACCATCAGATCTTTCTGCAAGGAAATTCGCGAATAAAACCATCCCACGGTACTTTCCAGGGACCTTATCGTTCAGATATCCAATCTCAACTCGCACCTTTAGCTTGACAGAATCTTTGCCATTCCCAGCCTAGAAACTTTGAGTAAGAGGATTGCTATTACTTATTTCTTGTCTATACGCACCTTAGAGACTTGACGAGAGATAACTTGTAACTTTGGGATATCCCGTACAGCCCTTATAATCTTAGAACCAAAAGGTGGGTTCCGAGATAAAATAGTCTCGATCTTATGAGCTTCGAGCGTCTCAAGCATTCCCAAGCTGCGTATGCCAGCATTCACAAGTTTCTTTACAGATGCTGGCCCAAATCCTTCAATTTGACGAAGCTGGAGTGGAGAATTCTCCCAGACTCTTGCTTTTAGAGACCTAGCCACCTCCAAAGCGGATCTAACAGATACTGAATCCTTAAAATGTAGTTTACCGTCAATAATGCAGCGCATTACTCTGTGACAGTGTTGAAAAATTAGGCTTTTATCCTGCATCAGAGTGGCTTTGAACTTTTGAAAGTTTGCTTCGACCGGGAACTCCATCATTCCGATCTCGAACTTTCACTCAAAAATTAGAATATATTCGACAGGATAATCCTAGAGCTTGATGTCATACCTGAATCAAAATGTATGCTTTGTGAGACGCATTGGTTAGTTCTCCGTTCAAAGGGTACTTTACTAATTTATTTAACTCTTTAAATAACCCTTTCTCCCCGCTGCGAAAACGGATATCTCTGAACTCTTGAGCTTGTGAAAGTATCAATAGCTATAAGGAATCAGCAAGATTAAAAATATCCGAATAGAAACTCTACATACCACCTCGGGTAGGCCTGCTTTCTTTTCCAACTCTAAGATTGTTTGCATTGTAACAAACTTGATGTAGTATCGAGCCATTGCATCACCAAGCTCTGAACATTTTAATCTTGCTTCATGCTTTAATAAGAGTCCAGCTTGATGTAAAAGATCTATATTCTTCTCACATATCTCCTCTAAGTCACGATCCGCGTCTTCGGACCCTCCGTGTTGATCAAATTTATAATGCGTAGGATTACGCTTGAGCCGGACGTAAAGAAAGGTTGATCGGAGCCACGTTTTTGCGGACTCGACGTTGGTTATTGTTCCAAGGCCTACTTCAGCATTCATATGTTCCACCAAATTTCCGTTTAAACAGCTTTCGAGTGGTTCTGTTCCCGAAACCATTTTCTCATACTTCATCTTGTTCTCTCTCTTTGTCATGATCACCGCAACTGCACTGTCGTCGAATTGTGGCCTGCCTGCCCTTCCAACCATCTGCATAACTTCTAACTCAGCGTAATCCTTTGTTTGCCCGTCTGCCCAAGTCACTGTATTTTTGATAATCACTAGATGTGCCGGGAGATTCACTCCGACGGCCAAGGTTGACGTGCAACAGATCACTTGAAGGCAGCCCTCTAGAAATAATCGTTCTATCAAAGTCCTGTCATTGACGTCTAGGCCAGCATGATGGAAAGCGACGCCAGAGGTTCCAGTGGTATGTAGTTCCTTGTCTTTGAATGTGAACCCAATGTTTGGACCAGGCCAGTAACGTTCATGTGGTTGAAGCATTTTCCATTTTTCTGCCAGCATTTTGGCCGTACTGACACACATAGCCCGGGTCATGCAGAAAATCATAATGGGCTTTCTTGAAGAATGCTTCTTGATTATATCTGGAAGCCTTTGCACGACGTCTGAGCCACATTCTTTCAGTGGGGATTACAACCAAATTCATAACTCACATCTTGTCTAAGGTTTTATCAAACATAAAGTCATTCCCAGTCGACTGGTACCCATATACGAACCTTTGTAGCTGGACAGGACGAAACTCCTCTCCAAACCGCATTTCGCAGGCAGGAGAACTTGAACACGCAGAGTTCTTCCCCAGCCAGATTGCGATGTCTTCTGAGTTTGGTACTGTAGCACTTAGTGCCACAAATCTTACATTTGTGCCGATAGATTTCATCCTGATATTGTCAGAATCTACGTTTGATGTGAATAGATAGAAGATACCTTGACACGACAACCTCTAGAGTGGCACCCCGTGATTCTTTCAGAATATGTACCTCGTCGATCTAATATCATCAGTACTCACTAGATGAGGCTGTAGGTTCTAGCAGGGTTTGAATACCAGGAACAGTCTCACTAGCTCTAACAACTTTTTATGGTCATCCCACCTTCTGGTCATACTGTCCCATTTTTCAGGCGTGGTGATAATTATGTCCCCTTCTTTCACATTCCTCAATTGTGCTTGTTGTGTATCACCTGTCAATTCTGTACAGGTCAATCCAAGTGTCCTAAACTTTCCATCCCAATCTATATATTTCATTAGCCAAATTCTATAAGAAGGAGAGATGCCGTTTACCTTTCTTCCTCTCAGCACAAAGCGCTTTTGTCGGAGCTTGATAGACAATCTTATAACTTCCCTGGTTTAATTCGTTCACCAGCGCACAAATAGCTAACTCCATGACTGCTGTCTTTCCCGAACCCGTGGGAGACGAAATAACTATATTATCATTCGTGCTATAGACCGAATGGAGACATCTAGACTGGACAGCATTGAATAGGGGGAATGGAAATACTCCGCGGAACCGATCTGGGATCGAGTTCACAGAAACTAAGGGTATCCCTTGAACAATTGGTGTTTTATGCTCGATTGTATTTTCTGGGGCTATAGTCGCTCTTTGTTGACTCTTCTGGGTTATTGTCCATTCAGGATAATTCTTTTCGACTCTACCTCCCTTTTGCCTTTCAGCCAGAGGTTTGTAAGGATGTTTGGGATTGTATGGAATGGGACTTGATGCCAAAGGTGACGAGCTGGTGAGCCTGTTGGTGCGTTTTGGTGTGCGCGGGTTAAACTCGAATTTCGCTAAATTAAAATGGTTATTGTTAACCTCTGGGATGCAAATACGAAGATTGATCTTACACAGGTCTAGTTTTCTTCTTGACACCGGCGCTGAGGGCTGTGATATTCGCTGGTGTGAATCCGCATTCTCTCCTTGAACCGTATAAACTCGAGATTGATATTCCTCTAATGGCATTATAGGTAATCTCGGACTAGAGTATACAGCCGAGCCCCGAGGAGGAGGGGGGGAGAACAACGATACTAAGTCTCTATCAAGATTCCCAAAATCCCAGCCATCACGGCTTCTAAAATTAGGCTCGTTCATAACTTGGCGATCTTTTACAATTGATGAAGTTATTAGTGGATACGATGACCATTTAAATTGTTCAATAGGATAAGTACCGAAATCATCCAATTCTTGCAATTCTTGTTTTTGGCTTCTCTCTAGAGGTGGTGCACTTAACGTGGATTTCAAACTGGAGCCCCTATGGAACTCTGGCAATAATCGTTCGCTGTCCGGTATCCAATTTTGTGGGCCAGAAGTGCCATCCACATCGTTTAAGACACCCATAACCTCGTCGAAAAGGTCACCCATAGTTGACTTCGTTTATTGGAATCCTTTGTAATGCGTTCTGTTGGACGTGTATGAAGGAATCACAATTAAGTAACCATAGATTTTGTGCACAAGCCCAGGCCTCCGTTCAGCTACAAGTAAGCGTCGTTGAGATACGTGTGCTCAGCGTTTATAATTCTACGTAGTATAAGTGGTTTCCGGCCTTCGGCCGGTACTACATGTTTATCAATCAGTCCAATATACAGGCAAGCCGCTTTGCGGCTTATTTTCTCTATTTGCCTATCAGTCGGGACTCTCAGGCCGCTGCGCGGCCCTCGACCCCTCCTGACAGGTAAAGTCCATCACTATATCTGCTTGGTCGATATGTGCATTTTCTGATATCCTCCATATATCAGTGGACAGGTCAGACAATTTCTCCAGTTCAAGCTGCAATTATATCCCTTTAGCAGCCACCAAACCGCTAAAATCGAACTATTACATGTAATCGATTCCCAAAACCAGTAGAAAACCTATTAACAATCTAACACCACTCAGCATAATACTCTATATTCATATCCAACCAAACATGTTTCAAGTGAAACAAAACCTCTCTATGAGCCAATCAGAAGTTTTTAAATGCACATGCATATGCAGGTTATAATTATATACTTATTAGATGTATATAAAGAGTACAATGTAATCCTCAAGCGCGTATACATGTACGTACATGTAGGTAGATACATGACGTATACTACGCAAGTAAGGATACGATCCGGACCGAGATCTGTATCCTTATAGAGAATTATCGCTATAGAAGGTTTAGAATATATATTGGAGTGCTACACGCAACTCAGATAATTATAATCTAATATCCTTATAGCGAGAGACTGCCGTATATGCATGTATTTACCAGGTACAGACCAGAATTATCATATTCGATTTCTCAATTCATGGCTTACTTGATTTTCAAATGAGTAATCAGAAATCTAGTGGTAGTTTAGGTAGTGCAGCCGTGCTCTAAAACCTATCAAGGTGCGGAATCAACCCAATTTTTCCCTATCGTTGAGAGTTTGTAAATCTGTCGCAGAGAATGTGGCCGGCCCAGCGTTTAGTAAGAATCGCCCAGTGCGAGCGATACACCGTATGGGCAACCGTACAATTGTTACCACAACAGCTCAAATCAGATTGTCCCAATTTTTATGGCAGTTTAGTACATATAGTGTAGTATGCCTAGGTTTAGGTAAATTTAATATCTGCTTGCCCTTGCAAAGAGTACAGTAGTCCTACCGGATTAATAAGTATATTGTTCATAATCAAAAACCGTTCCGGTACACCAAGGGCGCCACCCCATTTCCGTTATTGTAGTACTGCAGCTACATACATGTAGTACCTACATGTACATACAGCTACATGGACTCTACTCTAAGTACTACTATGCTAGTACGCACAGCACTATTATGAAGTTCAAGATGTCTTAGGAACCGTTCGGCAACAGGTCAAAACGGAACGGAGTTTCTAGAGGTGAAAACTCATTTTATCTTATTACCGAACGGGCCCTTAATTACATGTATCTAGATCTAGTGCGTCTATTTATCTGCCCGACGGGCATAGATACATGTAGGCGGCGTAAGGGCGCGCCTTATGCCAGTTAGCCGATGCGCTGCCGCCTGGCCCGCACATACTCTATGTAGGTATAGTTCTTGGCCATAAGTCACCGTCCTCGCGCCCAAAACACACCAAAAAACGGCGAAATCAGCCCTTTTTCAAATAGCCCCAGCACCCACAATTTTAAGATATAACTTATGCCAATTGGTAGAATACAAATTAATGATTAGGAAAGTCATCTGTAAGCTCTTAATTTAAAAAATAAGCATTATAGCATTGTTGGGATAGCCGTTTGCCCGGCTGTTCTCTAAAATCGTGCCAAGACCTCGAATTTGTATGGGATCTTGGCAAAATTCGACCAAATTCCAAAATTTCCAAATTCAAAGCCCCATAACTCTCCATATATTAAATAAGAAGAGCTACAGCTCAGAATTTATGTTCCTTTATCGTGAATTTTCTTATACTGAAAGCTCTATGGTAATTGATAAAGAATTTAGGGTTCGAGAAGGTGCCCATTTTGGCCAATTTTGGTGTGTTTTGCTTCAAGTCGGTGACTTATGTCATGGTACTGTACATACAGTACCGGTACAGCGGTGGGTAATAAGTGATGGAACGCCCTGAGGTACAGTTATACCTGCAAACACCGTATGTTGGTGGCGTTTTACCTAAAACAGGTATCACTGTGTCTCAGGGCGTTCCATCACTTATTACCCACCGCTGTACTGTACCAGTAGTTGGCCTTGCTACGACGCCCCGCCACCGTGAGTCTTACCCGGCTTATAAAAATAAAGCTTGCCCCACCACACTATAATAGGCCCCAGCTTTCTGTTGCTCACGAGAAATCCCTCCCGCTGCACCTGCACCTACACAATCCTCATATAACGTTCATTTTAGGTCCGGTGGCCTAGATATGTCTTCATCTATCTCTTCTTCACGACCCACTCAAGTCACTCGCTTGTGTGCGCGCTGTACAGTCGCTCGTGCCCTCATCCTCCGCCCTAAAACCCACGAGCGCCTCTGTAAATCATGTTTCCTGGCTGTTTTCGAAGAAGAAATACACTCCACTATCACCGCTACCTCTCTTTTCCGCCGCGGTGACCGTGTGGCCATTGGCGCCTCTGGTGGCAAAGACTCGACCGTCCTAGCTTCCGTCCTTAAAACCCTCAACGAACGTTACGACTATGGAGTCACTTTTGTATTGCTTTCAATCGATGAGGGGATCAAAGGCTATCGAGATGATTCCCTCGAAACAGTAAAGCGCAATGCAGTGCAGTATGAAATGGAACTTTGCATAGTATCTTATGCCGAGCTGTACGGGTGGAGCATGGATCAAGTTGTTGCGCAGATAGGAAAGAAGGGAAACTGTACTTACTGTGGTGTTTTTCGGAGACAGGCCTTAGATAGGGGGGCAGAAAAACTAGGGATCACACATGTGGTCACTGGTCATAATGCGGACGACATTGCCGAGACAGTATTGATGAACCGTGAGTAACCTAGGTCTCTTGTCAAAATTTTAACATGAGTGTTATGCTAAAAATACCAGTCCTTAGAGGAGATCTTCCCCGCTTACATAGATGCACATCGATCATAACAGAATCCTCTTCCTCGCCGATAGCCCGGAGTAAACCCTTAAAATATGCGTATGAAAAGGAAATTGTCCTATACGCTCACCATAAACAGCTAGACTACTTCACAACTGAATGCATATATTCTCCCGAGGCATTCAGAGGCAGCGCACGCTCTTTAATCAAGTCCCTGGAGCGCGTACGGCCCTCGGCCATCCTCGATATTGTCCGTTCTGGTGAGGCCTTCGCTGGCATGGTGCCGGAGTCAATTCAAAGGAACGGATGTGGTAGCAGTGCGGATATTTCTGAGGTAACAGATAGTGGAGGGGGTTGCGGAAACGGAGGCGGGGGGCGAGCTTCCGGTGGTGAGATGTTAGATATGGAGAACGAGTTAGTCGCAACAGCGAAGGCAAAGAGTCTCGAAACTGAGATTACCTTGCCTGCTAGGCAAAAAAACAAAGGAAAGCAACAGACACCGAAAAAGGTCCGAGATCAGAAGATGTCAAATTGCAAGAAATGTGGGTATTTAACATCTTCGGATCTTTGTCAAGCATGCGCACTTCTGGGAGGGTTAAACAAAAATAGGCCTATAAGGCCTATAGAAGTTGAAGTTGCAGATTCTTGACTCGGGCCAGTAAGGAAACAAAGGTACTCATCTTAAACCGGATATACATACGCAAAAAAAGACTATCGCAGTAATGTTAGGTCATATGAGAAGATATTTATTAATATATTCGGTCACAATCTATCACTCGAGAGGAGAAAAAACATATAATACATGTAGTGGTGTGTTCTTGGGCAGGAAATGTGATAAATCGGCCACTATATTTATGATTGTGTGCAGGAGTTCCTAGGAAACATCGAGAGATAGCTAAACTTCAATTGATCTCTGGATCTTACATGTAAACAATATGTCTTAGATCTCAAATACAAAGTCGTCGGGAAACGCATCAGTAAAATTGTAGAGGTAATAAACAACTTTGCTTACGCCTTCACCTACCACCTTTGCATTCATTAGATGCCGATCTACGACTTTACCTGGAAAATCCGTAGGCAAAGGTGTCAGTAGATGTGTTGAGAGTTGTAAAACTATAGACAAATGTATCATTTTGTGCCTTTTACCATTTTCTAGAATGTTTGGGGAAAGGGATAACTAATGCCTTTACGAGACTATTGATCCCTCTTATGTGTTTCCCCCGTTCCTTAGCTACGGGAATGTAGCGGTTTCAACCTTGACCCTTTCTATTGGAGTCATATTTGAAACCGTCAAGCAGCATATGCGGCATCCCTTCGTGCGTTCCGCAGATGAAGACATATTAGGCCCGCGACGGCGTGGTGATATCCATTAAATCTAACTCTCTATAGACTCTGGACTCACCAGAATAAGTAAAGAAGGAGTCACAAACGGTGACTTTACAGCGAAACAGGTTTGCGGAGAGGGTTAGGTTTACTAGCCAGTAAAACACCTCTTTGAGTGATAACCTCCACTTAGTGCCCGATCCTGAAAACGCACGAAGGGATTGCAACGCCAGCTACTAACCGCGTATGGCATGCTCAACTGAATGCGTCCATGGAAATTCTCACACTAAAGGCCAGTAGGTGCCAGTAAGCCGGCCAAGCCCCGAATGTTCTTGTTCTTGGGATAATACTACTTTCTAACCGAATCATACTCCATGGTGAGTGCCAAATCAGGCTGTAGGAAGTACCAAGTCAGACCCTATGAAGCACCAAGTCCGTGAAGCACCGAACTAGAACCGATGAATTACTGGTGATGCCGACAATTCTACAGGCGACCCCTCTGTCTCCGACATCTGGGTCAGCTGCGATTACCCCGGTCTGGTCCTACCAAACCCATGAATTGGTCAGCCTGCC